AATTGTACCACAAAAACATGTGCTCAGCTAATTCATAGCAGCATTGTTGGTCATAGCCAGAACATGGAAACTAACCTAAATGTCCCTCAACCGAAGAATGGATAAAGAAAATGTGGTACATTTACACAATGGAGTACTACACAGCTGAAAAAATAATGACATCTTGAAATTTTCAGGCAAAAGGATGGAGCTAGAAAACATCATAGTAAGTGAGGTAACTAGACCTAGAAAGACAAATATTAAATGTACTCATTCATAAGTGGTTTTTAGACACAAAGCAAAGAAATCCAGCCTACAATTCACAATCCCAGAGGACCTAGACAGCAATGAGGACCCTAAGAGAGACATATATTGATCTAATCCACACAGGAAGTAGAAAAGGACAAGATCTCTTAAGGAAATTGGGAGTATGGGGACCATGGGAGAGAGTTGAATGGGAGGGGAGAGGAAGGAAGGGTAGCAGACAAAAATGTAGAGCTCAATAAAAATCAATTAAGATAAAAGAAAAAAATATAAGGCAACAAGCTAAACACATTGGTAAAAATATCTTAATTCATTACATTTTTGTCCTAGTGACTTGAGACTAATAACTAAAGAATTTACTAATCAATAAAGTAAAAAGAAACTGGAACTGCTACAGTGTCTGCCCTCCCTCCCTCCCTTTTTTCCTGCTTACATTTGATGGGATTGGGGGCAGAAGAGGATGCAGAATTGAGAGATAGGATAGATCCGGAATATGTACTGAGAGATGAGGATTCTCATTAATTGCACCAAGTATAAGGCCAGACATCTGATAAGATCACAGGAAAAGTACACAGACAGGAAGAATCTTAACGCAGAAAGTGGCTGACCTGCGGGTCTGACCTCACTTCCTGTGACTTCAGTCTGTGCATTGTAATGTCATGTTGTGTGAACCGCTCAAGAATAAGATCCTATAAGGGCAAATGTGACTTCACAACCCTAGCCTTCCTGTACACTTGACATTGGCCAGCCCTGCCTTCACAAGCACTTAATAAGAAGGAGGGGAGCATGAAGAAAGGGAAGCAGATGGGTGCTGGTGTCACAACCCAAGCTGCTGCTAAAAACAAAGTTAATGCAAAAATCCTGATTTTTTTAAAATTTGTGTGTGTGTGTGTGTGTGTGTGTGTGTGTGTGTAGGCATATGGGTGTGGGTACCAACCAAGAAAGAAGCAGGCATGAGACTCCCTGGAGCTGGATTTAGAGATGGTTCTGAGCTGCCCTAGTGGATGCTGAGGTCTGAACTCTGGTCTTCTGCAAGAGGAGCAAACATTCTCAGCCTAGCTGCTGAGCCACCTTTCTAGCTCCAAAGGTTCAGAACTTAACATAAGCTTAACAGATGTGACCATCTGTGAGTCTCTGATTTGCCTGAATGATGGGCTCAAAGCAGGACACACAGGCTATCATCCCAGAGCATGGGGTGCTGTGCAGGAAGGATGGGGCAGTTTTATGTACTCGGATTTCACTTGCTCATTAAAAAAAATAATGTATATTTTTTAAGCCTTACTCCAGATTTAACAACTGGAGATGAAGCACAGACTTCATTTTATAAGTTTCCCACAAAAGCATGAATGAGTCAGCCTTCAACTGTCACCTACTCCAGGCTGTTCTCGGTTGCATGAGATCAGCTTGGATCCCCTTGGTCTACCCTTGGAACCCTGGTGCTGTCATTTGTTTTCTAAGTTTCTTTGGAAAGGTGCACCCAAGTCCCCTGATTCTCAAAGTTTCAAGGTAAGGGGTCTCTTGCACACAGAATGAGATGTTTATATTATGCTGACACCCCTTGCCTTGTCGTTATAAACATCACTCCATTATTTTGTGTATCTGGGAGAAAATACAGATGAATGCAGACAATGGCTACATACAATTGCTCATTTTGTCTCAATTAGATTCTGGCTTGGGAACAATGTCCCAGCTTTGGTCACACACAGGGTAGACGCAAAAAGCTGACACCATGGCTGGGATCTCCTGACGGCAGTGGCTTTGGAGGCCTCCCTCTGCCTCTCCCGCACTGCACCGGCCTTTCTGTTTTCCTCAGAGAAGACCTTCAGTTCACCTGGGTATCTGCCACCTTCTGTCTTCATGGGCCTGCTCTGCCTCACTTCTGAGGAAGCTCTGGGTTACACCAGTCCCCCCTGCTGGGTGGCATGCTGCTGCCAGCCCGGGAAAGGGCGCACCATTTCTTCCCATGCCTTGCAGTACCATTGCTGAAGTGCTGTTTTGGTGAGGTACATAACCATGGAGACTGCTCTGAAGATATGCATATTTACCTGTGCTTTATTATACCCACAATATTCCCCGATTCTTTTCCGTCTCCACAAACCAGCTTAAGATCTATTTGGGCGTCCTTTATGCCATCTTGAAATTGAATAGCCAATTCTTACAGTAATGAAAATACTCACGCGGCAGCCTAGTGATATACAACGCCACACTCTAATTACAGCTGCGCTTTAATTAACCTGAATTGAAGAGTGTTATCATTAAACTGCTGGGAACGTTGAGTTATGGCTTTTCTTTAATTTAAAGTAGAAAACACAGATAATTAAGCCTCAAGATAATCAAATGCTTGAAGAGAGCTTCAATGTTTTGGGTTGTTCCTAAATCTCATTAAATGTCCTTTCTTTATTGATTGGTTCCACCTCTGCCGAATTGCTGCATTAAAGGAATAATAGCACCAGGCTGAACACATTCTCACTCACATCAGAAGTTGCTTTTTTTTTTTCATTCAAAAGCTTTACTGAACAAATACTAAATTCACTGACAACGAGGTACGTCTAAGAGATCTTTTCCCTCATTAGAGCATGCTCTAAAGACGAAAATCAATCAAGGGAAATAGTTCATATTTACTAGTGCCGTGCCTGACAGGAGAGCACCCTCAGAAGCTGCCTCGGCACACCTAGCTTTCCCACCCTCCTCTTCCTCTGCCACAGGGGAAAAAAAGTCAGTCCTTTTAAAGATGACAGGTGAGGACTGCTCCCCTAGAGGCTGTAACTGGGTGACGCAGCTGCTACTTGCCTGACTCCTGAGCTGGCACTAAAGGCTGAAGGAGTTCTGTGGCTGAAAGACGGTAGAGCTGACCTGGGCTGTTGGTGTCACTCTAAGCTGACTTAGAGAAAGTTTACACCGCCCTTTCATTAAAGCAAGTGGAGGCCAGAAACATGGATCCGGTGTGGCCAACTCTGATTTTAAAGAGAGTCCGGAGATCCAGGTTTTGCTTTGTTTGGTTTTGTGAAATAACATGGTCCAGAAATACCAGCAACGAGCCTTGAGCAAATTAAAGAATACCAAGTCTAGTGCTACCCCAGTTATAACCTCTTAGGGGGACAGTCCTCACCCTTAGTCTTTAAAAAAACTGACTTTTTTTTCCCCAGCAGAAAAGGAAGAAAAAGGTCAAAAGCTACAAGAGCCAGACAGCTTCCCTGGGAGTGCACCTGGCAGGTGCAACACCAGCTAAACCGGGAAAAATCAGTGGCCCAGTAGAAGAGCTTCGGAACTTCCCAGCTGGCATCTGGAACATGACAGGGCCCCACTCCGCTGACAATTCTGCCTTGATGACCAGACCACCCCTGTACTGACCCCAGAGGGCTTCAAGGGCACTCTTAAAGAGCCCTGGTGTGTTCCCTGGATATTCTGACTTCTCTAGACTGCCCATCCAAAGCAGGCTGAGCTACAGAGGAGGATACCCTCCCAGCATCTTGGAATGGTTAACTTCGAAAGAGACATTGCTCGCAGGGAAAGGTGCTCACGGGAGTTACACCAGGGCTTCTGTTTCCAGAAAAGAACTCCTTCCGAATCAATTACCTATTCACTTTTCCAGTTCATTTAGCATCTAAACTATCGCTTAGGGACAGGGCAAGAAATTTCTGTAAACAACCAAACCATTTTGGAGTGCTTGGGGGTTTGGGCCTGGAGACTGGCAGAGAACACCTGCCGTGCTCCCTGGCAGGAGTCCCCACCCCTCCCTCCTGCATACAAAGCAGAACAGGAGTCCCAAAGACCCTGGGTCCTTTACGATGAAGGGCTCTCAGTTTTGACTCAGCACCGTTAGATTTCCAGCTCCAGAATCCCAGGTGATAGGCTTGGCTAGTCAGTGCTCTTTCTCCCTCAGCCTGGATTCGCCTGTTTCTCCCCAGTTTTCATCAGTGAGACCATTTATTGACCTTTGCTACGGACTCAGATACTAGTAGGTCAAGCTTAGAAGTTCACCGCTTTCAGAGTATGTGGGGAACATGACCCTTGTTTGATATTATTTCAGTCGAGAGAGTCTAAGTGGTGAGTCTGGGGGTACTGGTGTGCCTCAAGGTGGACACCTGGAATTCCTGGTACAAGATATGACCTACTTCAGGTGCTCTGGGAACCAGTTCCGAGTCATGCTATTTGAGCATGGCAGCTGTGTGCAGGACCTTTTCAAGGACCTTCTGTGCACTTGGCAGCATAGTTCCTCCGTAAATAGCAAAAGCACTTTGGATGTCTATATATCAAGGACTTAATTAGAAGGGAGTAAAATTCCTTTGTCCTGGAACTGGCAAGATTTGATTGTTCTCTGTATTAAGAGCAGATAGGTGCTGAAGGTAAAGTCCTGGGTTCGAACTTTAGCACCATAAATAAATAGAAAACTAAATAAACAAAACAAAGTAAACCAAGGGCCACCTGAGTTCACGCCACCTTTCCGAGACTTCCATCTCATAGTGGGGTTCAGAAGATGTACAGGCGAGCTGCACAAACTCAGAGTTTGTACAAATCAGGGCTTCAATCTCAAGATTTTTGGACCTAGAGGATAAATAAGAGCCAGCATAGCACTAGAAGGCAGGACCTTGTCAGGACCTGCTTTCCTGTCCGCAGACATGCAGGACTGAGAGCAGAGGAGTCCTCAGGGATAGTCAAGTGTCCCAACCAGAGCAAGCAGAGGCTGAGGCTGTTCTCCTTACAGACACAATAAACACCCCTAAGAGGCAAAGAGCATCGGGTCAACAGTCACTTACTCACAAACAGTAGGGAAGGACAGCCCCACGAAGGCACTGGAGAGATACTCTGTGTACATTTCATTGGAGACTCCTTCCAGGTAGTATTTCTGCCACGTGTCTTCCTCAATCTAAGGAAAAAATGCACAGCAAGAGGGTTTAAAATATAGCCACAAACTGACAGAGGGGACCTGGACTGACAGCCTTAAACATATAAATGCACTAGCGACACAATGACCTTCTTGGTGAATGATCTTCTCGGCAGCTGGGAGCAGACCCACAGAATCCCCATTACGCTTTCATGACCCCAAAGGAATTGATTCAGTAGATTTCCTTCAAAGCACTGCTTTGCTCTCAAAAAAAAAGTTTCATTGCATGTGCGTGTATGTTAGAGAGAGAGACTACGTGTGACTGTGTGCATGTGAGTCTTCCTGTGTCTGTATGAGAGTATGAATGTATGTGTGTGTGGGTAGGTACGCCAGAAGAGGATGTTGGACATTGCGGAGCTGGGGTCACCGGGCCTTTGTAAATATGCAGCTTGTTAGGTGAGTCCTGGATCTAAACCTGGGTCTTCATGACTCTGGCAAACACTCTGGCTAAGATACACCTCTAGCCCCTTGCTTTGCTTTGCACCCTCATGACTTCTAAAGCTGTGGGGATTTAGGACCCAACCACAATCATGGTGGACAAGTTATCAACTGACGCAAATTTCTGGAGAGCGATTTTGCAGGTGTTTTCACAATTCCTGAAACCATAGACTTCTATGCCAGGCTTCCATTTCAAACATCCACAATAAAGTATTTAAACAGGCAAGACAAAGTCATGGAGTTGTGGGTTTGTGCCACTCTTGAAACATGTTTCTATATCATAATCACATACATATACATTTTATTCATGAAAAATTACAAATAAAGCAGGTAACGTGAAATTTTAAAAAGCAATGAGGAATCCTGATGAAATTTCTATATTCTTGTGTGTGTGTGTATGTGCGTGTGCATGTGTGTGTGTATGTGCGTGTGTGTGTGTATGTGTGTGTGCGTGTGTGTGTGCATGAGTAAATGCCATGTGAATGTGGGTACCAATGGAGGCCAGAAGGAGGCATCAGATCTTCTGGAGTTATGGATGGTTGTAAGCCACCCAATGTGGGTACTGGAAACTGAACTCAAGTCCCCTGGGAGGGCAGCAAGTACTCTTAATCACTGAGTCATCTACCCCATCCTTTGATTTTTATCGTTGAAAGTTCTCTCTGGTTTTATATTATAGGGGCATATGAAAATGTCTACAAATGTTTATAGCAGAACAGTAGCAATTATCTCTGAGTGGTAGAATACTAATTTTTCAGATAGATTAATGTACTGTCTAAAGACTTTTACACAAGCATACACAGACATATGTATATGCACTATAGTCTATATATTCCTAATTTGGCAAAAAGATGTTTCAAGGGGGTCATGCCCAAAACTTCATTAATTTTCTATAATAAGGTCTAGCTGGGTTTCCCAACAACCGTCTCCAACAAGGTGTTTTCATTGGAGTCGATCTTTGAAAACTAATAAATTAAACCAGAAAGTTGAACCACTCTTGGAGTTGAGGAATCAATCTCAGCGGCTTCCTTGGCTGGCTTTGGGCTGCACCTTCCTGTAATGGCTCAAGTTACAGGACGGCAACAGGAAGCTGTTCCATCCACAATGTAGCTCTTTCAAATGGGCTGTCCTGTTCTTGTGCTGTGAGGACACATCTTGTGATGAGCTGTAACTGGCTCATCAGTCAGTTAACAGAGAGAAATACGGCACTGAGATCTGAAGAAGAAATGAGAGCCTGGAAAAGATCAGCGGCTTCAACTACGTGGTTATGCCCTGGCAGCCAAAATCCAGAATGAAAATTTGAGAAGTAAATGAAATGCTCCCTATTTCCATGCTTCTTATCTGCTTCATGCTCAGCTTGAGCAATTAGGCTGAAAGTTAACCTTTTTGGAAGGCGCTCCTGTACGTCTTCTCTTGTACGTCTGCTCTTGTACGTCTGCTCCTATACGTCTGCTCCTGTACGTCTATCCCTGTACGTCTGCACGTCTTTTCCTGTACGTCTGCTCCTGTATGTCTGCTCCTATACGTCGGGTTTCCTGTATGCCCCAGTGCCGTGGGCTATCGGCTGATTATCTATACACAGGTCTTCCCCAGTGTGGAGGGAGTTAAAAAAAGGTGTCAACCAACAAAAGGTGTTGCTAAATGGTATAATTTTTTTTAAAAAATATTTACCATAATGTTCAGCTAAGCATTAATATTTTTAATTTATCCAAATCTAAGTTCTTAATAATTTTCTTCAAATAAGATATTTAGTAACTCTAATTTAAGTGAAGTTTAGTATGCCTTAGTAAACATATCATAATATAGAATGTTTAGGTAACAATATTGCCATAATTCTTTTAATGATACAAAGGATACCATATGAACTATAGTTAATTATAAAACTTTAAGTAGGGCTTTGTGGGAACGTCGTTTGCCTAAAGTATAAGAGTTCTGTGTACTTTTGAACAGTCTTTTCAATGAGATCATTTTTGTTATTGACTCTTTATCAGTCCTTCGACAGTTTCATACAATGTATGTTTATCTTAATCAACCTCTCCTAGAAGTCTTACCAGATTCCCCCAACCTCATATATTCAATCTGTCCACATAACTTTCTGTTCTCTCTCTCTCTCTCTCTCTCTCTCTCTCTCTCTCTCTCTCTCTCTCTGTCTCTCTCTCTCTCTCAACTCATCAAGTCAATTTGCACTGCCCATATATACTTGGATGTGTGTTCATCTCCTGGAGTATGGTTGACCTACCAGGGGACACACCCTTGATGAAAACTGATGCTCCTCTCCCAACAGCTATCAGTTGTCAGTAGCTCCTCAGCCCGGGATGAGACTTCATGCCCACTTCCTATCTTCATGTTCAGTTCTTTTATAATATTCCAGACACTTTTTTAATTTAAATATTACAAATGATTTTTTTAAATACTGACAATTTAAACCTTAACTTAAAGTTACTGTTATTCTTCAATTAGTATGGTTTTAATATTGATTGCTTAATGATGGTCATTATTTTTATGCCTTTGAGTATAAGGGATTAACATTTTAGAACAAATTTTATTGTAGGTTAATCAATACATTTGGTAAATAAGTAGAAATATTCTTTATTGAATAGCAATATTGTTCATGCTTTTGTTAAACTTAACAAAAGTATTTCATTGATTCATTCAATCAGTAAATAGTTACTGAAATGTTCTGTATTGAAGGACTTATTCTAGAGGCCGATTAAATCTTATTTTAAACTGGTGTTTGCTTTCCCACATTTTCTCCTTGTGTTGGCCTGACTAGGATATGAGTGACCATCCTACTAGACACATCTGACTTCCTTTGATTTTCCAGATTTCTTTTCCCAAAACTTTGTTTCTGTGGCTAGTCTGAAGTTGTTGTAGACTGAAAGTCAAACATCTAGGGAAAAATGTTCAAACCATCCTATCAAACAAAATCCCTCTTCCACATTTCTAGGTAAATTCTCAGATGGTACCCAAAAGGCTCAACACAGTAGCATCAAATCAACTGTACAAATGCTAGGGAGTTTAAGATGCATTGCCCTAACTCTCTAAGACCTGTATATCTTTAGAACTATTTGTGCATGCAGAGCCTACAATGTTCTTAAGATTTCTAATTAAGGCATCTCACACACACACACACACACACACACACACACACACACACACAAACAAACAAAAACTGCTAATTTAATTATACTAACATCTTTTCAAAAGACATGTAGTTAGTAGGGATGTAAACTGGTACAGGCATTGTGGGAAACAGTGGAGTAGTTATTGAATTTAAAATATAATTGGTATACAACCAGAAATTCCGCTCCTGAATACATAACTAGAGAAAATGGAAAAGGGTCATGATTGTACTACTTATGCTCAGAGTTGGGACCCGAGCATCCATGGAAGGACGTACAGACCCTCACAGCCACACTGGTTAGGCTTCTCAAGAAGGGAAACTTTGGCCTATGCTACAGGATGGAGAGACGCTGGCAACATGATGCTAAGCAAAAAATACCACAATCACACAAACCAAATATTTGGAGGTGGGTCATTTGGTTACTTGAGGTCCATGCCCCAAATCCATAGAAGCAGAGAGTGCAAAGGCAGCCACAGAGGTTAGGGACAGTGATTGTTTTCAGGGTATGCTGTGTCAAGTTTGCCAGATGAGAAAAATTCTGAAAATGGGTGGTGGTAGTGGCTACACAGCCATGCAAATGTACTTCATGCCAATGAGATATACACTTAAAACTGGCTACAGTGCTTAGTTTTATGGCAATTAAAAAATTAAAGCCCTCATGATTATAACTGATGCTACTATTCTTTAATGCCTAAACACAAGGATGTTAAAACACAATAAAGAAAGAATGTGAGTCAGGGTTGGGAACTTGATGTCACCAAGATCTTGATGTCACCAAGATCTTGCTCTGGCCCCTGACTACTCAGGCCTTGCAACCTCCATTGAAAGAAGTCAGAGAAGACCCGGGTCACTGTGCAGAGGACAGGCAGAGTTTATTACAGAGCGTTCTCAAAAGCTGAGGGAAGCCAATGGCCAAGAGCTGAGGGCAAACAGAACACAGAATAAGTCTGTATCCTTGTCTTTTTCCAGAATGCCTCCACTGGCTAGACAATAATATTATGAGCGTGATGGCAGTTTAGAACACCATGTCACCAAGGACCAAAACATTAAACTCAGATCCGATGTTTTACCATTTGAGATATCCAAGCCTATCTTGAGTTTACTATGAAAGCAAGGATGGCCTTGAATTCAGACATCTGCCCCTCTTGCCTTTACTTCCCAATTGCTAAGATTCTGGAGTGTATCATCATTCCCAGGTTATTGGGTGCTGGGGATGGAACCCTGTCGTGCAAACACTCTGCCAACTGCTGCATCCCAAGTCCAGACTCTATTCTTTGGATCAATAATCAAAATCCTGTCCTTATAGTTTCTGGGTTTCTAAGCTGCTGATTAAAAGGGAGGAATTCAACTGGACCCTGTGATATACAATTCTTTTGATATCTGACTGTCTATCTAACACTATGACACTGTACCATATCTCAAT